AGAGAAGAATGTCGTGTGGGACAGTATCAAAAGCTTTGCACAAGTCCAGGTAGATGACATCCGTTGGTCGACCCTTGTCCACCGATGCTGTCACCCCATCGTAAAAGGCCACCAAGTTCGTCAGGCACGATCTGCCTTTGGTGAAGCCATGTTGGCTGTCACCCACCACCTCATTTTTGCATGTAAATAAAATACCCACCAACCCCCTGGCATGTATTAAAAAAATTGAACTCAAAACCAAATGTGGGTGACTGAGCAATACCTTATGGTTTAGGCAGGTGTCCCCCTCATACTTAATAATTTTCTTACCTTCCAATGTGAAACAAAGTGCTTTTGATGGATAAGGAAGCCTTGGGGTTTTTTTTCAAGTTTGTGTGTGAATAGATTTCATAAGAGACTAGATTGAATATATCTTTATCTATGCACACATTAATATTCTCAGAAAAGAGATTTGTTGCCTTACTGCAGCTCCCAAGTGATTTTCTTAGCCAGTTTACACTTTCTCCTATGAAAATAACTGATGACATAAATAGGAGCTGTTTAACAGGGACTGTGGGCAGAATTTTGACATATTTTACATATATCTCAGTGGTCACATCACACCTCTCCTTCATATCTGCATCCTGGAGGATGCTAGATCAACTGCAGAGGTACTTTTATAAGTTCGAGTCTTAATTTGTTATTTGAGTTCTTAGTTTTGGCCTACTTTGGCCAGAATGGCCAGTACATCGAGGGTTTTTTCATTATTCAAAGTAATGGTAGGGAGGTTTAGGGGTTTTTGTTTATGAAGGCAGTTTGTGCATGTTGTGTCTCCCTCTGTGCTAGTTCCATAGGCACCTCTCAGTCAGCTTGCTGCTCATGTAGGTATGCTACTTCTAGTATAAAACACAATGGTAAAGTGATGAATCTGATAAGGAAGGACACATTTTTATCCTTATTTAACTCCGCACTTCTGGTATTCCCTAAACATTAACAACACTCATTCTTTGGGACTTATTCTTTAATATGGGTTACTGTGTAACTGAAAGCACTGGAAACAAACATGTCACACAGTTCTCTGCATCTCTGCTAAGTCCATGAGTCTGGGTATCCGCAGGATGTGCTTTGGTGGATTTTGGATCTAGCAAATGCGTCCAGAAATCTGTTCTATGGTGAGTTGTTACTGTAGAGTTTAGTCAATGAAAGTTGGTCTTTTAAGAAACACACATCTCAAAGGAATTACCAGGAGGAGGAGAACACATTATATTTCATCTTCAGGGTCTGAGCATTTGTTTGGAATCCCAGCTGCTCTCTTTGATGGTGGACTCAACAAGAACTCCACAAGATAGGGAAGCCCTACTAACCTAAAATTGGTGTCACCAAGAGCATAAGCAAGGACCAGAGTGAGTATTTAATGTTTTGATATGCCCCTAGAAACAATCTTTGTTTGTCAAGAAGCCTGCACTACTCAAAGGGTTCACATCTTATTATTTGAACTGGGATCCAATTCCTTTCTTCATACTGTGAGCAATTTAAACAGATGTCAGATTACCTGTCATGTACTGTGACCAAATGAGTTGTTAATATGTAAATAGTAAATTGGAATTAGCAGAACCTCCACTGTTGGCAGGGCCAACATCATTAGCCAAGTCCTTTTATGGAAATGATTCAAAATTTTATTGCAAATAATTCTGGAAATTCAAGTATCAGTAATGGAAACACTTCTGTGAAACCCAGAAATGCCAAAGACATTGTTCTTCCATCAGATGAATATAGCAATTTCCTCTGTGTGAATTTTCTCCTTCTTTTTTGTTGCTCTTACTAAACAGACATTGATGAATGCTCAGATGGCTTTGTTCAATGTGACAGCCGTGCTAACTGCATTAACCTGCCTGGTTGGTACCACTGCGAATGCAGAGACGGCTACCATGACAATGGGATGTTTTCACCAAGTGGAGAATCCTGTGAAGGTCAGTATCTAAAAAAGGTGGGGTAGTGTTATGACGTGCATTACAGTAATGTCTAGTATCTCTGACTGTGCTGGTCAAGTAATTGTCTTGGACACCGTATCAATGAAGTTTAAAACTTCATCCAAAGCAATCATAAGCATCCTAAACAAAAGGCAAAAGAATATAAAGTATGAATATTCCTAACATATAGGAGCAGCATCAGTGGCCATTTCTATGATTTGCTAAGATAATATGTGAAGTCAAGCACGGTGCTTGAAGCGCAGTTTCTCTGACCCTACTGCTTCTGTGCATGGTCCTTGCATAAGTGATTTCCTGTGGGCTGATAGCATGCACTGTAATCTGTCACTCCACAGTAATCTGTATGTCACATTCTTTATATGTAGACATGGGCCTCAATCCAGACCTCAGTTCCTCCACTTCGTTCCTCTTACACTGAAATAGCCTGTGATGAAAATATTTCCCATTGCAAAGAATGGTTATGCTGCTCTGACACTCTTACTCACACCTGGGTTAATACTGTGGTGCCTCTCCTGTGCATAGGCTACCGGCTTATAGAAAGTTGCAACATGAAGAACAGCCTTACAAACAGGGAAGCTCAGCAGACTTAGGGCTGGAGCAAAGTGCAGGGGACAAGAGAGTGAAAGGGAGGACAAGGAGATGGGAAGGTTTTCTTTCTTTATGAATGATGTTAGAGACAACAGCAGGTTGGTAAGAACACAGTTATTTTCAGATGCAGATCTCTTAGTACAGAATGTTATTCAGCTCTGAAGATATTGCATGCTGCTGCTCTTAAATAAGAGAACAAACCAGTCTGTTTTGCCATGGACTGCTTAGGGTAAAATCAGGAGCCTTTCTCCCTTCTGTCTCTGAGTGCTGAAATATTCAGTGCTCACGCAGTGTAAGGTTTCCTACTTCGCTGTTTAAACTCACATTGGTGGGCTACATCCATCCCAAAGGGAAGCAATTGAATTAATTTCACTAAGGCAGATACACAGACAGTTCTCCAGGAGCAAGAATGACCTTTTCGATATCCCCATCATCAATACTTTATTTCAACACATTTTCGCCACTGCTGAAAGCCTGTACTCCCAGGAGGAATCAGTGATTTGAGTCAGCCACTGCTTTCATAAGTCGAGATTTCTTTGTCAGGAACTAACTAAATGTCAGTGTTAGCTGGCCAGGTGTTAGGACAGCAAGGTGCAAAGAAGAAGTTGTGCTCCCTCTGATTATAGTGTTGCCCTTCTGTCACTCGCAGCGCAGGTGATATTCTAGCCAGGCATTTATGGAAATTTTATGAATAGCCCAAGTTTTATCTTCAACGTCAATATAACATTTGTCTCGTGGGTTGAAGATAGTGATTTGGCAACTCAAGAGATATACATGATACAAAGTGACTCTGTTAAGATGTGTGCAAACAAGCAACAATTATGCAGCAATTTCTAAGCAAATGAAAAGCCAAGGAAAAAGAAATACGGGGATTGCTACATGTATGCAGAAGGGGCAATTATTAGAATGTTTTGACCTTTTCTACAAAGTGCCAGCAGCTCTCTATTAAACATACACAGAGGATAACAAGTAATTAGAATTAAATCATAGACGCTAGGAAGCTATCTTCATTGCTGATAACCCTAGTCATTAGCAGTAGAACACTTTCAGTTTGATTGATTGCAGCTCCAGATTTTGAAATGCATATCAACTTGAGATGAGAAGGAAGGTTAGATATTTTATTAGTCTTACTACATCACTTTTTATTGGATTGAAGCCTGCGACATTGTGTCTCAGACAGAAAATGAAACCTGAAAAGGTATGAAGAGACAGCCTAGAATCCATTGCAGTATGGAAAGTTGAACTTCCAGTAGCAGAGCAAAGTAGCACAAAAGCAATTGACTTCTCTGCTGTCAGATCTTTCCACTGTGAGAGATTCCTCTACTGAGTATAAAGATGTAAGAAAATGGATTTCTTTTGTCACGTCTTCAGCATCCCCTAGTTAGATTGAGATTGATTGAGTGATTAGATTGAGCTGTTGGTGGATAGTCTTCTAGATACTAGTGGCTTAGCAACTTCATCTGCCAGTTCCTTCAGGACCCACAGATGCATCTCATCAGGTTCCAGGGACTTGTGCACCTTCAGGTTCCTTAGACACCTGTGTAAACTTCATGAAGATCAACAAGACCAAGCACAAGGTCCTGCACATGGGCCAGGGCAATCCCAAGCAGAAATAAAGGCTGAGTGGAGACTGGATTGAGAGCAGCCCTGAGGAGATGGACTTAGGGGTCTTGGTTGATAAGAAACTCAACATGAGCCGGCAACGTGCACTCGCAGCCCAGAAAGCCAACCATATAATGGGCTGCATCCGAAGAAGTGTGGCCAGCAGGTAGAGGCAAGTGATTCTGTCCCTCTACTCTGCTCTCACCTGACCCCACTTGCAGTACCGCGTTCAGCTCTGGGGACCCCAACAGAAGAAAGACAGGGACCTGTTAGAGCGAGTCCAGAGGAAGGCCACAAAGATCGTCTGAGGGCTGGAGCACCTCTCCTATGAGGACAGGCTAAGAGAGATGGAGTTGTTCAGCCTGGAGAAGAGAAGGCTCTGGGGAGACCTTCTAGCAGCCTTCCAGTACTTAAAGGGGACTTATAAGAAAGCTGAGAGGGACTTTTTGCAAGGGCATGTAGTGATAGGACAAGGGGCAATGGCTTTAAACTGAAAGAGGGGAGATTCATGTTAGATCTAAGGAAGACATTCTTCCCTCTGAGGGTGATGAGGCACTGGAATAGATTGTTTCAAGAAGTTGTGGCTGCCCCATCCCTGGAAGTGTTCAAGGCCAGGTTGTATGAGGCTTTGAGCAACCTGGTGTAGTGGAGGTGTCCCTGCCCATGGCAGGGGAGTTGGAACTAGATGATCTTTAAGGTCCCTTTCAACCGAAACCATCCTGTGATTCTATACTTCAAAATAGTGTTTTATATGGAGTGCATAATAGGCTTGTCTTTGCTCATCTGTTTTAAATTTTAGTTGCTTTGAAGAGAGTTCACTCTTTCAGTGGAGAAAACATTTAAAAGCCAAGGAAGTATGGGTTCAAATGTTTCTTTCTTGATTGTTCTGTATGGTCTGCCTCGAATTTGGGTCTGTAGGTGTGCCCTGGACATGTACCGATAGTACTACAGATAGTACTACAGAGAGCACTTCAGTGATCAGTGTTAGTCAGCTCCTTGTTTCCTTCAGCAAAGCCTCTAATTTTAAAAATTCAGGTGGAAACACCTCTGTTAAGATCACAGAGGCACAGGAGCATTTCCTTGAAAACTTTAGTTTAACAGAATACCAAAACTGCATCTACCCCTTTTGCAGGAAATGGCCCCATTAGGACATCATACTAAACATTCCTAGCTAGAGGTGGACTCCTTGATAGCATCAGACTTTGTCAGTGCTTGATAATGAAATAATAGTTGCTGAATTGCAAATTTTACACATATATTGACCTTGGCTACTGCTGCTTCATTGGCACAACTAAGAGTATTGAGTATTTTGACTAATGTACTTGAATGCAGAATTTCATAATCCCATTTTATTGTACCTACAGGCAATGTAAGACCTAGAGATCCCTTTGCTATTAGTTTTGCTTCACATTATACTTCTGGGTAGACCTGTGGTCTCTATAACAATTACCGAGAGAAATGATGGGAAATGCAGCTGAAAATGATGGGAAATTCAACCTCTTACCAGCACTTGCTGCTTTTCACTTGGAAATAGAATTAAGTTATGCATCATGGTATTTCCAGAAAAGTGGTGAAGGATCAGCTCCTTAGTCTTTGAGAATTTCATGGATTTGGGAAGTCTGAAGTTTTATATGTATATGTAAATATTGCGTGCTATATTACCTGGTACCTTCCTCTTTGCCTCCCTATAGCTTTTCTTTATGATTTCTTTATGCAGTCTTATTGGTGCTGTGAGAGTTGTCTCTCATGTACCATGTCATAAAAGAGAGCTAGGCTGATATAGTAGAATGTTCAGGCTCAGTTAGTATTTACTCTGCAGTTCTGTGTAAGATCCTAATTCCGTTTGAATTTGTGCCCTGCTATGTCTAAAAGCTTCTGAAATCAGCTGAAGAGAGGCTGTATTGGTTTGTACCAGAATAGTGCAGGCTATACCTCATAAATTGTTGGACATTTTGCATACTTCCATGTCTGAAGAGTAGCTCACCTAATTAATACAGCCCCTAAGGACTTACCAAGAGTATCTGGCAGGTACCAGCTGTTGTTGATATGGAATATGAGATCAACATGCCTTCACTCTCAGCAGGTACCACATTCTTTAAATGAGACAGGTGCAAATGAAAGGATTGCAAAGCATTGATCCAGAATGCCCAATTCAAAAAGGATCTTTCTTGGTTGTAAGGATTTCTCTGTATGTGAACTCACACTTTAGGATTTCTGTTCTGAAATGTCGTTATGTTTTTCTTCTGCCGTCCTGCTTCCAGAAGTAGAATCACTTCTCTGTGTGATAGAGCAGGCTGACTGACAACACAGAGGTCTAAGGCTCTACTTATACAATATTTTCTACAATCCAAGGATAATAAGGAATGGAGACATATTACAAGCCTCAGGATGCTCCCCAGCCTTAATGAATGAGCAAAGTCTAAAATGGTCACTTCAGCATCCATGTCTCTGGATCTGGATGGCAGAGCAATTGCTGACTGTCAGGATGTCTGAATTTATCTCACAGTACATCCAGTATTTTAACTAGTATCTGAAATTCCTTGTAGTTGAAAAACCACTGTCAGTTCAGAGTCCTACGCTTATATCTTTCTACACTGCTGTTAATGTTTAACAAAAGCTTTGTTATTGATAGCACTTAAGGAGACAGGAAATAAAGAATTAGCAGGAAATCTTGCTAGCACTCACAAAGCTCCATCAAAATCCTTTCGCCTTTATTCATGATCATAAAAGGCCAACAAATAAAATGACTTTTTTTGCATCCATCACAAACAGAGCTATAGGCATTAAGGATT